GGTTTTCCTGGTAAGGTTTTTAATGAGGCAGCAAACAATGCATATTATAAATAACTATGTACACCCCAATATTTTTTTTTTTTGTAAGTTTTTAATGAGACACATTATCTTACATGGACATCCAAGGGAAATGGTTATGAATAGTTTATACATTGGATACTACATTGGATACTACATTGGATGCTACATTGGATGCCCATGTTGTGAATAATTTAAAGATTAAATTTCCTATTTTATGTCCATCATCTTTACTTTTTATGCCTATAAAAGGCCATGTAATTGCAATGAAAAATTACACCAAAGTGAAAGAAGACTCTATCTCTTCTTGTTTACATTTTACTGCATTGCTTTTATTTTATAACATTATTAATATATTAGTGCTCTCTATTTCATTCCATCCCTCTATATATATTTTTTGATAAATAACTTTCTCCCCTTCTCTGTGCCGAATGGAGTGCTGATTGTTTATTTTTTCTAGATCTGATGTACTGAAAAGTTTAAATTACTTATTCCTTTTTTTTTTGGGGTCAACCAAACAAGAAATACACGAGGATTCCACTAACCACAAGCGAAACAAAAACAACTGGAGTCGTGCGACACGTCCAGCTAGTTGTTAATTATATCAGTTTAAGATTTAACTTCGTATATTCTTTTACCAAAGATAGGCTTTCATTATAATTTTTTGGTACAACAAGCCAAATGAAGATTACGCAGAAAATTTAACCAGCAAGAAACTACAACTCCATCAACCGCAAAACCAGGTTCATTAGTATAAAATCTAATTTGAACAGTTCGTATATACTTTGTTCCCAATCCGTTAATATTCACGGTTGAAGAATCACCTCTGGAACTACTGTTTTGTGTTTTGAGGAAGTGACGATCTCGGTATTCTGTGTCAACATTTTACCTGGATTGAGGAGAAAAAAACCCTAATCCCATCCGATGAATGCACAGGATTTTGCTAATTTAAATCTAGAAGGAAAAATAATCACAAACTAAGATAACTAAACATTTTTGGACAGAGAGCATACACAAAAAAAGGTATTCGCTGTATGCCATACCAAAACCCTCAATCCTGAAAGTAATCCGTATGCTGTAGGATTCATTAGCTACAAGAATTAGCATGAGAACAGTAAAAATAAATATAGAAAGAAAAAAGAAGTCAAAGTCCACTGTAATTACTTCAGAAATAAACAAAATGGAAGGACATCTACTTAAATAAAAAGATAAGAAAACAACAATTAAAACCTCTTGACTGCTCCCTAAAAAGAAAGTTTCTAGCTGCTTACAAGATTTGTGCAATTGAACTCAAATATACTAACCACCAATCGTTTTGTTATATTCATGGAGAACAATTTGATGTATATATCACAGAACCAGTATGCCAATAATAGAAGTATGAGGATAATAAGTAAATTAGTTACAGCAACTCAGAAAGTGCACAATAATCTTCTGATCAAATGCCTCTCTGTAATGCAAGCCATCACCCCAAAAATTAATAGCTGCCATCTGCATTAACACCATGCTTCACTCCCTTGGCTTGAGGTGTTACTTGGTTCCTACTTAAGGTATCAAATCCCTTTTCCGGCCCATAATGTCGTGATCCACATATGGCTTCCAAGATATAAGGAGCAGTATAGTTTAGCATTATGTAGTGTCACCAATGGCAGTAAGCATGCAACTCTTCACGTTAACATGGTATCATTATTGATGTTGCTTCAGCATTCCATCCATTCCATCCAGTAACCAAACTAGCTTATAATGAAACACTGAGGTCCAATTCCTTAGTGAGCTGACTGGTGTCACCTTACATAATATCACATTGGGTCGTAGCACCGAAAATGAGCGACCAGGAAATACAAAGCAGAGGAATCTCATTGGTGGTTGAAAGAGCACTTTTAAGTTGCTTCACAGTGATTGTTGAATTCAATTGCAGCATATAAAAAATCTATGTTGTGTTCAACGCTCATGGTGTTCGGCTCATCAATCCACAAGCCATCCAAATCAACAACCTATGCAGGCTTATATGAGGATTCTTTAACAAGTGTGGTCATCTGTACCATCAGAGGACCACCAGAATACAGTTGCCTATTAAATTCTGGGGCTGAGCAAGGATATGATCATAAAGCTGAATGTCACTATGTTTCAGTGTACTAGTCTCTTGCACCAGCTGAGAATTCTAGATATGTTTGATTCCACAAGATCCTTCATTCTCTGTTTACTTCTCCTTGAATCTTCAATATCTAGAGTCCTGTAGGCAAGGGCAAGCAAGTACATTGCTGGATGCAGTCTCCTGCACATGGAAAAATATATCGGCACATCAAACCCCACAATACTGTTTTCGAGCCTACTGAATAATCCGACAACATTTCGTATGGCAACTCGTATATGCAACATCAAGAGATGAGGATTATACATGGTGATTACAGTTGGAGACATTTCCCAAATTCATGGGACATAATGAGAAAGATAACAAGCTGTAGCCGAGTGGCTTCTGCTAGACTAGAAGTATGGAAGGTAAGATCTTCATATTAATCTTTTCAAGCAGGGTGTAAACACATCCTACATTGTCACAATAATATCAATTTACAAAGATGCAAAACATCAAAGCATAATTATCAGCAAAATTTATAAAATACAAAAATTTGTTTCTGCCAGAATGCAACAATGTATAAGCTTATCATTAAATGGGTGGAGAATTTAATTTCATATGTTTGAGGCTTCTATAACCTGACACTTACTTCTCAAAGTGATCATTTGCCCCTAAGCCATCCCAATACCTCTGAGATAGTACATTTCGACCTTTCTTATCTCTTCCAAACGTCTCCACATACCAACCTCCAATGTCATGCATGCCACATCGAGGTTCAAATAGCCAAAATCTGTTTGAGAGAAAACTCATTACTAATGACATCAATAAACAAAAACCCAAGTGAAAATGAGAGACCTATATCTTGTAAACTAACAAGAAAAACAGTGATTTACCAGAGAACACTCTGATATGAATATCACAAGCACAATGTTCTATGGATTTCCTGGCTTTTAAGTTATGAATTAAAAAGAAAATTCACAATCCAATGGCATCATCTTCTGCTAAACTTTATACTTGGCCACTGGTGTCTCTAGGAGCCGGTAGTTCATTAAACTACTAAAAACCGATTTAAAGCAAATCTAACAACTTGATCTGCTAACCATATAGACACTGTGGTCAAAAGTTCCTATGCTTCCAACAAACAAGCACCAATGTACCAACATAGGAAGAGCAGACAGAGCCTTGTGATATAAATGGAAAGGAGCCTAATTATGACTCTTAATGACATTGAAAAGTACAATAATCCATAATTACTGAGCACAAAAATAACTACTAGTTCTCTTACCATTTGTCTCTTAATAGTTAACCATAAGCTTTCATAGTTCCACCTTCTGAGAAAGAGTAACAAAAAAAAATGAAAAGAGAGGGAGGATGACAGAAAATGGAAGACTGCAGCGATCGTAAGTAAAAAAAAAGACAGCATTGACCAGGAGGCGCAATTTTCCAAGCTCAAAGCTAAAAGCGGATGACTAGACATCAATAAATTAGTAAACCATAACTTCCTTTAATGGTCATTCCATTTCAGCTTTTCATTTCCATCCAACTCAATAAGATAGATTAACTCCAGTTTTGTAGTCTGATTCATCTCTAAGCCCACCTCTCCACATTTACTTTGTAACTAAAGAATAGGCACAAAAGTCCCATGACAGTTTGACAAAAATCTAGAGAGAAAAACTGGCACTTCTGATGAGCATTGACTCAAAAGGTTAAGTTATGGACTTTACTTGCTCGGAGGTAGCCTAGCTCTGCGGCATCTGCACTCACAGGTTGATACTTCATCTCCTAATCGATACCAGTGCATGTGTCTTACCTGAAACAAATTTCTCACGCAAATTAAAGTGGAAAAATTATGAATATGATTCCTTAAGCCAAGAGAAAGACAGCCATTCCAAGAACAAATTCCAGAGCTGCATGTATGGCACATGGTAAGAAGAATTCATATAACCCAGGATACATAAAGCTTAAGAAGCACAATATTCTCAAATGACAGGTGCACATGTAAGAGTGATGGTTCATGCACGGACTACAACAGGATGTTGCAGCGTGCATCTATGAATCTATGCAAAAAGGTTTTTCGACTAGTTAAAGCCATCAAGTGAATTTATCATCACGGAAGTCAAGCAACTTCGTCAATTAAAGCCATCAATCCATGGAATACCCACCATAGAATCATATCGGAAAAACCACCAATGTGCTGGGAACACATGGTACATCCACAGTTCATCTTTGTGGAGTCACATTACAGAGTCCAATTAAAGAAGGAACCCTGAGGTTTAGATGGCTAAGAGCAGAAGCTCATAAATACTTGGGCTTCTCATGACTATTCCTTAGCTTCAAAGAAGTGAAAGTACACAAGGCTAGATTTAAAAAAACATGGCTCCAAAATTTAAGGTATCTGAGACTGACAAAAAATTCTTACACACATGTCGAACATGTTCTTTTTCTTGCATTCTTTATGTTTTGGACACCAAACTTCTTCTGTTTCACTTGATGACATCTTTTGTGGTGCTTATTCTCCTACACAATCTGTTGATCTACAACGAACTGTTCAGAAGTAAGTTACTAAATTAGAGAAGACATGAAGAGGGGAAAGTCCATTTTTTTGAAAGAAAAAATTGTAAAATTGTAACTCGTCTGGGACTTCCTTTGGGGCGAGGTAAGCTCTTAACATTGTAGACGCAAGATGGAACAGCTAAAGTCCCATGGGGCATATGCCATGACAGGTGCGGCATTCGCCTTATGGACACTTTATGCCTTAGGTTGTCTATCCAGTACACTCGAAGAATGACTCGTGCATGCTTTACGCCTTGGATTGCCCGTTCAAAACGCCGCAGAGTGTTTGATTTATAAATGTTTTCAAGTATTTGTCTATAATTTATACGATGAGTATGTTGTTCTACAATTAAGAGCTTGATGGCTTAGAATATTATATTTTGCCTAGATAGTTAAATAAATATTTATACCTTTTATTTTTTGAATTTTAATTTTTTTTAGAAATTTATCTTTTAATTTATTTCTTAATGTTATTTTACTACTCCCAACTTTCACTTTTACTTGTCCACTGTACTAAAAATACGTTTTCACTTTTACTTGTCCAGTGTCCACCATACTAAATCAAGAAAGACAATCTTTTTTCATATTTTTCCCTTATCATTAACTACTCATTCCCCAAATTATTTCCCAAGACTTTTGAAAATACTATCATTATTATGGGTAAAATTATAAATACATACTTCATTTATTTTTTCTTAAAGGGAGTGCAAAGTCAAAAATGGACAACTAAAACGGATGGAGTATTAAATATTAAGAGTTCAAAGTTTCTGGGGTTACACTCCGCCCCAGTATAGCTAAAGTGTCTTGTTCTATGCCTTCGCGTTCTAAAACACTGGGAAATCATAAATGAGTGGATAACAGAGGTTCATATAACAGAAAAAGGATACATTTATTGCAAATTTTTAGACATAACTATATCTGAGATCTTTTGCGGTTATAGTCATCTAATTATATATTTTTTCAACGTTCATTTTTGGCCTATGCTACATAAGAAACTTGCATAACCTAACTATTTGCAACGAATTTTTGACATATGAAAAATAACTGCAATCACAAAAGAATAAAGAAATTTTATTAATCAATTGGTCGTATAATTCTATTTCTCCCTTGATTCTTCTCTCCTGATTATCTCCGTGATTCGAGGGCTGGAGCAGAGTATTTCTCGAATGTAGGATGATGCGAAATTTCTTGAATGTATCTAATATCCATGAAAGTACGTTGTGGATCTTCTTGAAGTATTTGATTATCAAGAATTATCCGACCACATCTTGATCTCTTTGTGAGTATCCCATGAGCTTATGGGATATTCGAGATGATCTCTATTTTTTAGATGTCTTTTCAAGGGAATATGTGACCCTTTTTATAGGAGTGACCTAGGATAGGATAGAGTAGCCTCCAAATTAGGTTTTCAATAGAGTAGCCTCCAAGTAACCCTAATGGACTCCTAGAATTTTAAGAGTAGTGTCTTGAATTTAGGATTTAGCCCAAATTTTGTATAGGCTTGATCTATTAAAATTTCGATGTCTACAAATGCCCCCAACTTCAAGGGTTGTCGGGGTATACGCTTGCCGAAACTTGAAGACCAGACTTGAAGTACTCGACCATCGTAACAAATGATTTTGAAACTTTTGGTTTTCTATTTGCATGGGAAAGAGATGAAGAGCAGAACTGGTCCCACTGGGCGTGCCAATTTGTTTGCAATAAAATTTCGACATATGTCAAAAATGCATTCACAAACATAAAAGGTGAGTAATTTTATTGATACGTCTTTGTGGGTACAATTCTGTTTGTTCCCTTGATTCTCCTCTCTAGATCGTTCTCCGTGATTCGAGGGATTGACCAACATATTTCTCGAACGTAAGATGATGCGAACTTCCTTGGGATATATTTGATCGCGTTGATCATTTCGGCGGCTATAAGAGAGACAATATTTGATGTCTTTGATCTCTTTGTGAATATTCCATGAATTTTTATGGAATTTTGAGATCGTATATTTGATCTCTTTGTGCATATTCCGAGATGACCGCAAATTCCGATATCTTTTTTTAAGGTAATATGTAATCCTTTTTATAGGAGTGGCCTAGGGTTAGAGTAGACTCAAAGTTAGGGTATTGGTAAAGTAGCCTCCAAGCAACCCGAGTAGACTCCTAGAATTTCAAGACTCCTAAAATTTTGATGTCTACAAATGCCCCCTTCTTCAAGTTTTGTTTGGGGGGTAGGCTTGCCGAAACTTGAAGACAAGACTTGAAGTACCAATGATGAGACCCGCAAGGAAGTGCTTCTTTGAGACTTGTTCACATAAATCTTCTTCAAAGTGTGGCTTGTGAATAATCAACTTTTTGAATTTCTTTTTGCCTTGCATCTGTTGGAAATTAATTTCACAAACGTGCAAAGATATGCCACCTTTCCAATAAATGAAAAATTCTTGTGTGTCAAGAAAGAGTACTGCTAGTTCCATAAATCCATAGAAGGATTTTCCTTTCCGAATCTATACAAGCGATTCTCTGGTTAAATTACCCATGATCACTACCTTGATATAAATTCTTAACAACACTGCATAGCTCTTTGTTTGAAGGCTACCACATCAGTTGATTTTGAAATTTGTAGCTTTTGATTTCCAAGAGGAAAAGATGAAGGGCAAAACTAGTCCCACTGAGCGTGCCAATTTGTTTGCAATAAAATATCGACATACGTCAAAAATTGCAATCACAAACATAAAAGATGAGTAATTTTATTGTTGAGTCTTTGTGGGTACAATTCTATTTGTTCCCTTGATTCTCCTCTCTAGATCGTTCTCCGTGATTCGAGAGATTAACCAACGTATTTCTCGAACGTAAGATGATGCGAACTTCCTTGAGATATATTTGATCTCCATGAAAAGGAAGAATATCTGTTGATCACTTCGGCGGCTATGAGAAAGACAATATTTGATGTCTTTGATCTCTTTGTGAATATTCCTTGATTTTTATGGAATTTCGAGATCGTATATTTGATCTCTTTGTGCATATTCCGAGAATTTATGGAATTGCTGAGATGACCGCAAATTCCGAGATCTTTTTTTAAGGTAATATGTAACCCTTTTTATAAGAGTGGCTTAGGGTTGTAGCAGACTCAAAGTTAGGGTACTGGTAGAGTAGCCTCCAAGCAACTCGAATAGACTCCTAGAATTTCTATGTCTACAAGAGAAAGGATACATTTATCCAAATTTTAGACATAACTATATCTGAGTTCTTTTGCGGTTATAGTCATCTAATTATATATTTTTTCAACATTCTTTTTTCGCCTACGCTTAAGAAACTTGCATAACCTAATTACAACATAAATTCAATTGTGTCATGTAGACATGTCCCCTCAAAATTAAAGTTTTCTGGTCTTCATGATTGAATTTGTGTCGTCATCCAAAAAGAACTCATGTCCACATCCATGCTATTAAGCCCAACATAATCCTATTATCCTGGGCGGAGCTATGTAGAGCCAAGGGGGTAATTGAATCCCCTTCACCAAAATATTATAATGTGAATCTTTTTTTTTTGGTTATATATAAACTAAGCTCATGACATCTGGTAAGATTATAGTATAGTGGCAAAGGGGTTTAAAAATTGTTTTAGGTTACAGGTTCAAATCCCAAGTGTAACGTTCTAGTATTTTTTTGAATCTCCTTGCATAAATTCCTAGCTCTGCCACTACTATCATTCTCATCCCGCTAACACAACGAGCTGACCTATGCACCATACGTCCTTCTGATATGCCCAAGGCCGGAGCTACAAATGAATTTATGGGTTCGGCATATGCCAATAGCTTTAGCTCAAACCTTGTACTTGTGTTAAAAAATCTATTTAATATATATAAATAATTTATCCAGAACCCATGAAGCTGCAATAACAATAATATACCCAGTGTATTTCGATAATTGAGGTCTGGGAAGGGTAGTGTGTACGCAGACCTTACCCCTATCTTGTGAAGGTAGAGAGCTTGTTTCCAATAGACCTCGGCTCAAGAAAATTTCTAAGCAGGATTGGAAAAGATGCCATGTTGAAAATCAGTAGTGAAGAAGCCATGAAGCTGCATTTTCTAAAATCCAGAACCCACAGACGCAAATTCCTAGCCCTGCCCCTGGATATGCCAGGTGAAGGATGTCAATTGAACTACTACCGTAAAAATCACCTTAGACGCACACGCAGTTCTTTCTAGGCTTCATTTTTCTCCATTGACAAAACCAATGAAGAACTCTATCAATACCTTCCACTCTATACTATATTAATGAGTTTTCTATTTGCCATCTCGAATGGACGTGATCGCTCTCTCACTCTTCCCCTTTGAGTGCTCCAACTACTCTATGGACCACCATTCTAGGACTTGCCAGCACAGCAACTATGATATCAAAATCCAACCAGAAGTACCACGAGCTTGATGCTTGGCCAACCATAGAGTATTAAAGGGAGAATGCTTGCAGGTACAACAAGACATCGCTTGTAGATAAGCCAGACCTCCTGTCAAAACCCTACACTTGTGTGCAGAGGAAGGATGTTAAATTTGTTCATGGTGCATGTGGTTGTAAGATAAAGAAGGGTAGAAGAAGTGTAGAATATGCTAAACTACTCCAAGTATCTCTTAGATTGGACATAAATGGTCCATAAGACAAAGAAAACAATTCATGACTACTTGCAAGTCAGGTATACCGCAACACCAACCAACATATTAAAGGCCAAACACCAAAAAGCATAGTGAAAGCAAGCCTAGAAAGTTTTCTATTGCATTCAGACAATGACCTTAGAACTACACTTGCAACTTTATGCATTGTTTACAGGAATCTACAACTACTTCTCATAAGCAGCTGGCAGATAGGGAAAGAACTGGTTTTGCTCATTGCACCAACTCGCCCCTCCATCCCCTTCTTTTTCTAGCAAAAGATATTTGACAGGATAAAAGCTAAAGAATATAATAGATGATATTAGACTCACCAGTAATGTTCGATGCTTCATAATCACATGGGTTTTTAGGCCATTGTTGTCATAAACATCGCAAGAACCTTCTTCAGGACTGGTCCCCAACCCTGTTATCATTCCCAGTGGAACGGCAGATTTCAATCCGAAGTTTATAAAGTTACTTTTAGAAAATCTTTGGACTTCATCTGAATTGAGGTAAACATGAATGCAGTCATCAAACCCCTCATTCTGTATCCCATTAGATCTACTCCTAGGTGGAACTCTTGTGGCCACAGCAACAAGCCTCCTTCCAACATGCAATTCCAAGTTTCTGTATGCATCTGATGTATGGTAATTAGAACTTCTCAATTGCCTTTGATCAGAACCAGTATGAGCTGTCTCCGGATGCATTTTCATGGGGAGATTCTCAATGGAATGACCCAAGCCCGGCGTAAAGGATGTTAGTTTTTCCCTAGAAGCATGTGACAGTTCGGGGACATTTTTGGCGAAACAGACCATCCCAAAAAGATCTCGCCCGAACACCAGGTGCAGAACCTCAGCTGTTTCATATACTGATCTCTCCTCAGCTTCAAAACACTCAGGAAGGAGATCTGACTCAATTTCAGGGCCGTAGAATGCTAAATGTAATGCTGAGTAGAAATCTCTTTCCAGTGCATCAAAATAGCCTGATCCAGATACTACCCTTTTTTCAGCCAATATGTCATTTACTGTTTGTCTATACCACTTTAACCATTCAACAACTTCCATCTCCTTGATTGATGTGCTATATGATTCATACATGCACATTTTTGAACCTTGTCTAGAATGCACATGAACAAGTGTTTTTCGAGCTGAGAGGTACTGGTCATAATGCGCTCTCTTCTCAGAATCGGATAGAATCTGCATTCCATTTGTTATCCAAGTAAATACCAGTATTCTTTCGAGTAAATAAAGATATTACCCTTCACTTTTCTTTTTTTTGTTGGAGAAGGTAAAGTAATCTCATATATAATCCACCACAAAGGATGTGCTGTTAAAATTGTACAACATCAGCAGAGTACCCAAAAAACCAGCAAAAAATCCCAACTATCCTGTACCAATTCTAGAAGCTGTAGAACTACTTCAGCCTCATTTACATGTTCCATTCTACACCAAAGCAAAACAAAGATATACAATTAGCCTTTATCTTAAGAATTGACTTAGCAATATCTTCAATGCATCTTTTTATTTTGTGATAACCGTGGTGGCCGGACCAGTTTGTGCGCATTTCAACTAATTCCACGGGGTACTGGCTACCTCCCACAAGCATAGATGTCGGGTAACTCTATCCACCAACGCTTGGACAGATAAGAAGAAATCACCTCGTGTTTAAGCCTCCACTAAATTTAAACCTGAAAACTCATGGTTCTAACCCACTTCTTTGACCACTAGAGCACACATTTGGATGCATCTTCAAAGCATCTTTTGTTCCTCTCGAGCCATATAGTCCACCATATGCATGCAGTATAGTATTACATAGAGGACTAGGATGTTAAATGTGCACATGTTTAAATGTCATTTTTGTACATGTTTAAATGTCATTTTTGTAATAATTCGAAACTTCTAGAGGACTTCTAGGATATTGATTTATTGAATCAACTAAGAATTCATAATGGCGTCCATGTCCGTATAGTAACATGATTTCACTTCATTTCATTCTCCCCAAGAAAGCGTGCTTGCTTTAAATCATGGCCCTTTTTCTTTCACAGCACGGGATCACTTTTACAAGCATTAAAATGGATATACCATGATAAATGTGGAAGATTCCAAAAACAACAACAACAACAACAATAACAACGACCCAGTAAAATCCTACTAGTGGGGTCCGAGGAGGGTAGTGTGTACGCAGACCTCACCCCTTCCCCGAGTGAGTAGAGAGGTTGTTTCCGAAAGACCCTTGGCTCAAGAAGACCGAGGGAGCAGAGAGGTTGTTTTTGGAAGATCCCAAAAACAAGACAAAAAAAATTGTACTCCCTCCGTTTCATATTAGATGAGGTAGTTTGACTCGGTACGGAGTTTAAAAAAAAAAGACTTTTGAAACTTGTGGTCTTGAAAGCTTAAGGGGTAAAAGGTTTGTGGGGCCATGACATTTGTGTGGCTATAAAAGCTTTTCATTAAGGGTAAATGGGTAAAATGAAGAGTTTAAAGTTGAATTATTTCCAAATTTAGAAATGTGTCATTTGTTTTGAAACAGACTAAAAAGAAAAGTACCTCATCTAATATGAAACGAAAGGAGTAATAGCCAACAGAGCAGTTTACACATTGATATTCAAATCATAGTCTAGCTTAGCTCATGTGGTCCTAAATTAAGCAATAAACTGCAACAAAGACTATGCTTATATTTCTCTCGTGTTCAATTAAACTTTCAATCAACATAAAAATTGAGGCTCTTAAATATCCCAATTTTTTCGTACTCCTTAATTCCAACCTGGCTAAATCAGTTATATACAAGTCATCTGCATCCACTCCATTCTGTTCACGAAGTTAATTTTCCATTGATTCGTATTTTTACTCGCCCACAATGCTCCTCTTTTATCCAGACCTGGAACTAAATATACTTTGCAAGGATAGGCGAAGTTAAACATCCGGTTAATTTCACGGACCGTTACTCAACTTTCATTTTATTGTACCAAGGTGACTAAACTATTTTGTGTGTCATTCACCTTTGCCCAAGTATCACAAAAGTTGCTAAATAATTTTTGTAATAAAAAAGACACTAAACTTTGCCTAAATATCCTAGAAAACGTCTCCTTTGTTTTTCTCCTAGTGACTTCCTGTGGTATTTAAGCAAAGTTGAGTAACCTTTTTGTTACAAAAAGTAGTTTAGTGACTTTGATGATATTGGATAAAGCTGAGTGACTTTTTAGTTACAAAACATAGTATGGTAATTTTGGTTCAATAAGTGAAAGTTGAGTGATCATCCATGAAATTTACCCTTAAACATCTCAATTTTTTTTACTTTACGTATTTTATATCCTTAATTCTACCTAATAACAAATATTGCACATTGATTGAATTGAACTAAGAACAATTCAACAATTATATTTATCCTGATAACAAAGTAAACTGGGGCAGAAAACAATTTAAAAAATTAAAAAGAAAAAAACAAGAGAAAAGATTAATGTGACTGAAAAAATGGAAATTGTAGGGAAGAAATGCATGACCTCATAAGCAGCAAGTATGTCAACGAATTGCTTGGAAGTAGAGGAGGAATTGGGCGTGGAAAGAGGGAGGAGGTCAGGGTGAGTCTCCTTAGCCAATTTACGAAAAGAGTCTTTGATTTCAGCAAAAGAGCTTGTTTCGGATACACCTAGTAGCTCGTACGCGTTGGGTCCCGGGAACTCGGATTGAGTCGACTCGGTCCCAGTATTGAGCCACCGCTTTGTAATAAAATTGGGATAATATTTGTTTATATAATTTGATTGAGGTGAAATTATATAAAGCAGAAATTGATGATGATGAGAGTGAAGAGTAGAGGCCTTTCCGATGAAGAATTTCATTTCGGAGTTGAAGGCGGTGGCACTGCTTCGGTTTTCTAACAGTTATTTGGAAAAAATGAGGTAAAAAAGACTTCTCAAGTCTTACACGGAAGAAAACGTGTAATTAAAGGAGTTGGGGTCAAATTAAGAATAACAAAAGTAGTTGGTAATATTAAAATTTTCAAAAATCATACTCATTCAAATTTTCATTTCTCTCTTCTTTCTTCTTTCTTGTTTCTTATTAGTTCTTTCTTCTTTCTTCTTTCTCATTCTCTCATTTAGGGGTATGCATTCGATTTATCGATTCGATTTTGACCCTTATCGATAATTATTTATCGATTATCAATTTATACATATATTTATCTTTATCGTTTCAATAAGGTTTTCGATTTTTCGATTTCAATTTTTCGATTTTTGATGCTTATCGATTCGATTATCGATTCGATTATCGATTACACCAATTAGAAAATTTGCGGGATTCCACGGAAAGTATATCGCTATAAATACGCCTAACTAATATGGATAAAAAGAAGCTAAAATAAGACGAACACCGTTTATAACATAAAAATTGTGTCAACAAGCACATGCAATGAAACTAAAGTAAGGAATCAAATTTATGCCACCAACACTCCAACGATTTATAACATAAAAATCAATGAACTTGCACAAATAACATTGTCTAGCTTTTACTTGTTCTAATTAAAAAACCTTCTGTTCTATTGTTGAAAACATTTTTTGTTTCACTAAACTTATGCTATTTACGAACTAAAGTATATTATAGTTTTTTTTATAAAATAAATTATCTCATAAAACTAATTAGTAACGTAATAAACTATTTTCAAGAACTTAAAAAACGTACACTAAATTCAGATGGAAAGTTTATTCATTTTATATGGAACAAAAGGGCATAATAGTCATAACAACGTCTTAATCAAAAGTATGCCAAATGTGGTGAGAGGAATAGCAGTCAGCAAAATAGTACTAGTGTAGTAATAGGCGTAGTTCGTAGGGCGATTGGCCTGGAGAGAGTAGTAAAAGAAGCCAAGATTATCATTTATCTTATCGGTTTATCGATAAACCGATAACCGAAGAGGACAAAATCGAAATCGAAATCGATAACTCGATAAGGAAAATTTCGAAATTGATAAACCGATAACAAATAAACGATTCGATTTATCGATAAACCGATAACCGAAGAGGACAAAATCGAAATCGAAATCGATAACTCGATAAGGAAAATTTCGAAATTGATAAACCGATAACAAATAAACGATTCGATTTATCGATAAACCGATAACCGAAGAGGACAAAATCGAAATCGAAATCGATAACTCGATAAGGAAAATTTCGAAATTGATAAACCGATAACAAATAAACGATTCGATTTATCGATAAACCGATAACCGAAGAGGACAAAATCGAAATCGAAATCGATAACTCGATAAGGAAAATTTCGAAATTGATAAACCGATAACAAATAAACGATTCGATTTATCGATAAACCGATTCGAATGCACACTCCTACTCTCATTCTTCTTCCTTACTTTCTTCTTTCTCTTCAATTTTGTTTTTGCTGTAGGTAGTTCAGGTATGTCATCTTCTTGTTCATCTTCATTTTCTTCTTGGTCTTTTTCTTCTTTCCCTCTTCATATCATAATTTCATCTTCTTCTTCTTTTTTTCATTTTATCTTTGGTTTAAAATATACAAGAGAAAGAGAAAATATGAAAATTTACAAAGTGGGTATTTTGCAATATACCCTCGAGAAATTTTGAGACATTCCCATAAATAAGTACTGTGTTGAAACATTTCCGGGGATGTTCGAAACATCTCCCCATGATGTTTGAAACATTTCCAGGGATGTTCGAAACATCTCCCCGTGATGTTTGAAACATATCCCGGGATGTTTGAAACATCTCCCAGTGATGTTTGAAACATATCCCGGGATGTTTGAAACATCTCTTGGGTTGTTTTAAACATCCATCGGAATAAATGAAACATCTCACGGGATGTTTGAAACATCTCTTGGGTTGTTTTAAACATCCATCGGAATAAATGAAACATCTCACGGGATGTTTGAAACATCTCCCGTGAAGTTTGAAACATCCCCGGGATATTTAAAACATCCATCGGGCTGGAGTAGGAGGGGGATGTATTTGTAAATAAGAAAATTTTGGGGTTTTTAAAAATTATGTCATTAACTCTAATCACAAAAGTGTCCCTTTTACCTCATTCTTAACACTTTTGTCTTAAAAATTTATATAAGTTTTGAAGTGTCTTAAAAATTTAAATCCCCCCAGTTATTTCCCCTCGCAAATGAGTTTCCCTCTTTTAGCTTGCATAAACCGGTGCTACGCAACAAACAAAAAGTAAATATAGCAAGAAATAAAGCAGTATTTTTGAAATTTTTGAATAACTTCAAAAATAACCCAAAACTATATTCATGTCCAAACACAACTCTAATTTTCAAATACTATTTCACTTGAAAAAAAAATTCACTTTTTCTTTGGATTTTACAATTCTGTCGAAACGCCCACTAAATATATTTTATCCAAAATATTACTATCAATTTTGAAAATCAAGATATAATTTATCCTTTTTCCCAATTTTCTCTTAGTATTAAATACTCTTAAAAGTAAAAAAAACTAACACAAATAATCTAAATGGAAGAGTAAAAATCCATAAATAAAGAGAATATTTATTGAAGAGATAAATATGTTGAATGATTAAAGAAATAAATAAGGGTATTGTATTAAAAAATTTCTTTTATTAATAGTTTCTTAAGGGACATATAAAAGAAAAATAGAACAACCAATATGAATAGAAGGGGATAGTAAAGTCAAATTGGAATGATAATTACTTCTATTTTCTTTTTTCTTTTTTCTTTTTTTCTGTAAATGAATATGACAAATATTTTTTTAGAACCGAGGAATGAAAGATGATGAAACATTAACATTGATAGATAACAAAGCTCTTGCCTAATATTATTGTCTTTAATGAAATGGCCAGGTCATAACATTATCTTTTTTTTCCGTAAAAAATTATACGGGGTGTCCTATTTGGTCGCCCCATTTAACCTATACCCATTTTTTAAAAAAGTTTTAATTTGTACCTACTTTTTAAACACCTTCAATCCCATTTCTCCTCCTCCTTCTCCTCCAAACGAATTTCTCTTTCTAGTACGAAATGAATCTCTCTTTCCCTCTGCTTCTTTGATTCCAAGTATTTTTCCCACTTATTCTCATCCTCTTTTGATGATAAAAGTGATATTACCCTCATCTTCTCGAACGAATAGTGTTCTCTTTCCCATAAATTCTTATCTAAAAGAAGTTCTTCTTCTGATTTGGG